CATCCACAAAAACTTATTTAGCACATTAGAAAAGCACATCAGAATACCACGGGACCCACCCACGCTGTGTTTCCTTCTGTAGGAAAAAAAAAAAAAAAGCCTTCCTAAACCTACATGGGCATGCCAAAGCCCTGATCTCATCCTTCCCTCTTGCATGACCCAGGTGAAGAGGCTCCCAGGATCCCTTTCCTTACCCCAGCACCCTTTCCTTACCCCAGCACCCTTTCCTTGCCCCCAGCCCTGTTCTCTTCCTGGGAAAGAGAAAGAAACTAGAGCGCAGCAGCAGATGCTCCACGCGTGCAATCAAGGGAGTAGCTCTGCTCAAAGGAGGGGGTGGCAGAGGACACGCAGAGGCTAAGGCAGGAATCCTGCAGGGCAGGGCTGACATGTAGCCCAGTGACTCTCCAAGAGGCACCAGCTGTTTCTGGATGGCAGGGCTAGGAGGTCACGTGGACAGGGTCTGCTCTCAGGAAGAAGACAGACTGCTCTACCATCTACTCGGCCATGCCTGCAGTCCTTCCTTCAGTGGATACTTACTGAACACACGCCATCTCCACAGTGCTACAGCAGCCTGGGACAAGAATTTCCTTACTGAATGGTTTTGCTGAGTCTAGCCCACTACTGTCTTGGTAAGTGCAGTTTTAGTGGCACTCAACCACACTCCCGTTGCTTCTGTACCCTGAGAACAGAGGGTACAATCGCTGTGACAAAGGCTATATCGCAAGCCCTAAAGTTCACCATATGGTTCATTATAGAGATAGTTTGCCAAATCCTGCTTTGGAAAATGCTGGATGAACCCAGCACAAGCCCAGCTATCCTTATATTAACTAGGGGAGTTAATATCCTAATACACAGTGCTGGAAAATGTTAGTGTCCCTCAGAGCCCGTGAGGACATGTAATGTCCACATGAGGACATCTGGAGGTAGGGCTCTGGGCGTGACTATGTCATACAGGAGCCTCATACACAGGTATGGAGGAGGCCTCACAGAAGAGACCAAGGGCACGAACCATTGCACCTGTGATCTCAAGGTCACACACACAGAAGACAAGGCTGAGTATGAAGCAGGAAGCAGCTCTGGACAGACACCCTAAGTCTGCTGACACCGATCTTGGACTGTCCAACCTCTAGAATTTCAAGAAATAAGTTTCTGCTGTTTTATCAGTTCTGTTTTACCGGCTTCTAGCATTTTGTCCTAGCAGCCCAGACCTTCTGGTAAGACATGTAGGCTGCTCTGCTTCTAAACACTCTCCTTGGTGCCCATCACCTAACCCCCTCCCCCAACTTCCAAAGCCTACATGAAAACACTAACTAGAAAAAACACTGAATTCCAGAATAGACTGAATTTTGTTTTGTGTTTTAGACTTCTTTATGTGCACTAATGTTTTGGCTGCATGAGTGCAATACATCACCTGAATGTCTGGTGCCCAAGGTCAGAAAAGGGCATGGGATTTCCTAGAACTGGAGTCACAGGTGGTTGTGAGCCACCACATGGGTGTTGGGAATTGAACGAATCTTCCACAAAAGTGCTCTTTGGTTTTGCTTTGTTGTTGTTATTTTGTTATTTGTTTTTGAGACAAAGTCTACTTGGCTGACCTGGAACTCAGTCTGTAGGCCAGGCTGGCCTCAAACTCACAAAGATCCACCTGCCTCCGCCTCCCAAATGCTGGCACACCCAGATAAAATAAGTGCTATTAACCAATGATTTTTTGATCTATCCCTCTAAACCCTGGATTAAGTTCTAATGATAAATTATCTAGATATGAATCTGAATGATGCAGCACATATGAATGTTTCACAAGGAGAGCTATAGAAATCAAGTTTATAGTACATTAAATATTTTACCTAATGTGGTAATGTTACATAAAGTGGACCAATTATATAATGATTATCTCATAAAACTCACAAAACTGTTACGCACTCAGAAAAGCAAAAAGCTTTCATTGTTAAGGATCTAAACTCCAGTTCTTCAAATAAATATCCGAATCATGTAAAAGCACACTGAAAAGAAGGAATATATGTTAGAAGAAAGAAAGAAAGAAAGAAAGAAAGAAAGAAAGAAAGAAAGAAAGTCCTGCATGTGTGAACTGAACTAGAAGAAACCTAAAAAGGAGACCAAAACACACATTTTCATACACCACTATTTGTTTTTAACACCAATGATTCGAAAGGCCAAGATGCTCACTCTGTGAGCATGGTCAGACCCCACCACTGAGTTCTGGTGCCCATCTGAGCACACGGAGAGGGAGCACAGACTCCCTGAGAAGTTAGGATGGAAGGTGGCACTACACAGCTGCACATCGCTGCTGCAGGGCTGTCCAGAATTGTCTGCAATGGCAGGAATGATCTCTATTTGCACAGGCCAAAATCACCACTGAGCATGCCAGACATGTGGCTCCCAGGCACCTAAATGCAGCTACTACAACCAAAGTTCTCAGTTTTAGTATTTCAATGACTGCTTAAGAATCCCATGTATGAATACTGAGTTTCCACCACCTTCACTCCTCCCTCTCCCTCTCTAACCCTGCTCCCTCCCTCTCAATCCAGGACATAAACACACACCCTACTGGGTCCATTTAGTGCTGCTCGTATGTACACATGTTTAGGGCTGACCCCTGAGATTGAATGAATACTTATTATTATTTTTATTGTTACTGTTACTATCTGGGTTTTAGTGCTACTGGTTTATTGATTTTGTTTTTATGACATTCTTAGGTAGTCCAAGATGACCTCAAGTTCAAACCTTCCTGCCACAGCGTGAGCAATGGGCTAAAAACATGCATTTTCATTTTAATGAGTATAAACTAACAGAGCGAGGGCGGAGTGCAGTGGTGCATGCCTTTAATCCCAGCACTCAGGAGGTAGAGGCAGGTAGATCTACAGAGTGAGTTCCAGGATAGCCAAGGCTACACAGAGAACTCCTATCTCGGAAAAAAAAAAAAAAAAAAACCAATAAACTAACAAACAAACTACCTACCATCCTATACAGTGAGTCCGAAGTTCTAACACGTTGACTCCACAGACTACTCTTGCTTTTCAGGAAAAGGACTAATTTTTTTTTCTCTCAAAGATACGAATTGACTATCTTTCCAACACCAAAGTCTACCACTCTTACTTTAGGTGGCAGAAGCCTAGGCCTTTGTTTTCAGCAATTTAATCTGCTTTTCCTCCTACTAGCCAGGTCAGAAACTCAACTGTTCTTCATCAGTTATGAAGTGTCAGCTGAACCTGTTACCCTACAAATAGGGCTGATGGGGCAGAGAGATGCCTCAGTAGAGTCTGTTCTGGCAGAGGATCCAGGTTGGGTTCCCAGCATCCAGATGGCTATAACACCAGTTCTACAGAATCCGATGCCCTCTTCTGGGCTCAGCGGCACTGCTTACACAGGGTACACATCCAGACAAGTAGCCATTCGCACATACACATAATTAAAATTATCTTTTAAAAACTTTAAAATAAGGCTGTAATGATACAATGATTGCTTCACCCAAAACATTATCAAAATGTTCCTTTTCCTCTTCTCAAAATTAAAACTAAACGTGTACTTTTTTAAGTGTTAGTTCATAGAAGGAAGAGGGAAGCCAGCCCAGGCTGTGTAAGGACATGAAGATAACATCTGAAGGTTCATCCTGTAAATTCGACTGAACTGAGGGGATTCTTCTAGGAGATTCATGGAGCACACATCTAGGTAAGTCTGTCGGGGCATTTCCAAAAACTGGCATGTGGAACAGCAAATCAGAAGGGACCTGCCCTGAATGAGGACGACACCATCCAACAGGCTGGCCAACTTGCCAACAAAAAAATGCAGAGGAAACCAGCCAAGGAGACCGGAGCTCAGATCTTCCTGAGTGGGTGGTCCGTAGCCGCTGCTATCATCTGCAGGCATCATACTCCTGAGCGTCAGTGTAGATTCACACCACGGCTCTCCAGGAGGCCTTCAGGCCTTCAGCCTCAGGCTGGGCCACAGCATTGGTCACTTCTGCTCTGAAGCCTCCTCCTATCTGAACTAAGCAACTACTAGGTTCTTGGGTGCTTCAGTGTGTAGATGGCCACTGGTGGACTATGTAGCCTCAGACTGTGTGAACCATTCTAACAAATCCTCTTGTATACTATACACTGTGGCTCCTATGCTAGAGAAGCCTGACTAATCGACCAACAGCATATTACAACAGAAGGGATGACCAATTGAGGCAAACATGGACTACACGAAATAAAATCAGATGTCCTGGGAATTCAGAAATCTAGCACATACGGTGTAAGTCACACGTCACTAGCAGGGTCTGCAGGTGGACTCTGTCCTTGGGTTTTCAATCAAGCACTTTTTACATAACGTTTCCAGCCCAGCCACCTAACCCTGCTTACCTAGCTATTCAGCTGCTGCCTCGTATCTCACAGCTGCTAAAGCCAACATTCACTGACTCCGTCAATTCTCAGTAAATGTTTACTGCACACCAAACACAGTTTTAAGGGTCTAGCTACCCCTCAGTGTGGTCTCTACCTTCAGTGTCTACCTTGGGAAACTGCCTATACTTTTGTGTGCAAGCCAGGAACAGGGATATTGTTTCCTTCCCATTGGTTACTCAGTCCTAAATTTACCTTCAAAATCTCTGTCTTACTTTAGCTCTGTTCTCTACTGCTAATCACCTATAGACCGAGCCAGCAGCTGTTAAACAGTGGCAATCCTGCCCTCAAAGGTGTATCTGGAAACAGTGGTTTTTGTCACAGCTCAGGGTTCTCCTAGCATAGGAGCCAGGGGTGCTGCCGAATTTCCCATGGTGCAGGTCCTTCATGTCAAAGAACCTCCCATCCTTAAGTGTCAGGGCTGAGATCGGGAACTGACTTGCATAGACAGGAGAGGGACGAACAACAAGATTTTATGTTTTGTCACTTCCTTATGAAATCCTCGTGCCGGGAGTACTGTGGTGTAACAAATACGGCTCTACTGTGACTTCTTCTATTCAAGGGAAAGGTGCTTTCTGTGTGAGCGTGCTCAATACTCACTGGTGCATGCTCTCCACTCCTGCTGTGACCATGATGCAGTAGGAAATCCCACTTTGTACAAGGAAGTGTAAGGCATACCTATAAAAAGGAAGAATGTGTTAGAGGCAGCTACAAACATCACGTTCAAATGCTACAGGTGGAAAAGCACAAGTGTATCCTAGAACATGGCCACACACACACACACACACACACACACACACACACACACGCACGCACGCATACATGTGCAAAAATGACTAAACCTTCCCAAGCACAAATAATATTCTTCAAATACCTAAACAGGGAGCCCCATGCCTCAGGCCAAAGGCACTGGACAAAGAAAATGAATCCCTATAAGACCAGCTCAATGCCCCAGCCTCCACATAACCTAATTGCAGGAAAGCAGCGTGGGGCCATGTGGATGGAGGGTTGCCACCTTTTTCATAGGCCGAAAAACAGTCTTTTTCAAGGGAGTGATGAACACGATTTTCAGAAGAGTCGTGGCAGAAGGCCTGCTACTTCCCCAAACTTCCCCAGTTCCAGCCTTCTACATCATTGTGTTTACCCTTTTAACAGTGGCATCCCCCCCCAAAAAAAAAGTTCCTAAAAGGCACCCAAATCTATTCTCAAAGAACAGTGGCTTGCTTGAGTCAAATGAACTTCCTTCTGAAAATACAGTAATGCGCTATGATGTGTTTGCAAAGCATGCTGGTTTGCATGACAGCCCTTTCTAATATCCGAATAGAGAAGCCAGCCATTTAATGACAAAACCAATGTATCTATTTGCTTCAAGAATTTCAGGCAAACTATGATACGGATCTCTGGGACTAACCTCAACCCAAACCGTCCCTGAGATCACACATCACAGACACACACACACACACACACACACACACACACACACACACACACTTGTCCTCTTTCAACTTCCCTTTTGGATGGCACAACTTTTAGTAAACTTTTGCAATTGCTATGTACAAATTAATAAGAATCTTAACATATGGTTAAAAATTCTTTTTAACTTATTCATAGACTATCAGATAGCATGACTATGGAAAAATGCTTGCACATTTTTCTATAGATATGTACAAATAAGGCGTAAGTCCCAAGACAGGCCGTAGAAGATAAAACAGGAAGTCTGTATCTCTACACACACACATTCCACCCACACACAGGTACACACACCACATACACACATCCAGAAAGACAACTATGACCTGGAGTATTCCTTCACTCAGAGGAAGGAGGAGACAGGGAAACATACACAAGAAAAAAAGGAGAATAGGATGAAACTTTAAAATACTGAATCGAAATGCCATCGACCTGTTCATTAACAGCAGCAGCTAACTAGCAGACCTTAAGGAATGTTGTTGGGGATGGCTGGGCACTCTTCAGGACTTTTAATACTTACAAGTGTCTTCAACAAGGTGGAGGAGCATGTCTGAGGAAAGTGTTTCCTTTTCTAGGTAAGTTTCCTAGGGTTACAAAGACTTTGAAGCCAACAGGTTTACTCCCCCAACATCACCCGGGTGGCCTGGCAGTCTTCAGGCTCCCGCTCCTGGCACGCTTGGCTGCCTTTGGAGAGTGGAGTAACATTTAGGCAACTACCTGCCAAGCTAGTGTTTGCTGCTGTGGTAAGTCAGGCTTAGCGATGCCGACCTGCTCTCAATTCATCTGTTCTGTGGAGGCCACAAACACAGCAGGTGCCTGCTCTCATCAGTTGCCACACCAAGGAAATTCCTCACACTGCCCCTCACTGAGCTGCCCCTCAGAAGTACCACCCACACAGGAAGCAAACTCTAGCCACTTCAGGTGTGGGTGATTATAAAGTAACACATGGAAACTCTGGTGTGGGTCTAGATAGAAGCACAGAAGTAAGGAGCAAATTCAGTACTATCTGGAAAAAGAAGTGCTTGTAGGCACTAAGGAAAAGGGGGTGGGGAAGTAGGCGAAGTAAGCAATAATATTTACAGAGCAAACATGTCCTCCAAAGGGAAGTTGTAAAAATCAGTGGTAGGACTGCCTCTAGAGGAATTGGGGGGGAGACTAACAAATACAAAGCTAAATAATAAACCAGAATATTTACCATTAAGTAATTCTGGCTAACAAAAAATTAACTTGTGGGGCTGGAGATATGGGGCTCAATGGTTAAGAGCACTGTCTGCTCTTCCAAAGGATGGGAGTTCAATTCCCAGCATCCACATGGCAGCTCACAACTGTCTGTAAAGCCATTTAAAGGGAACTGACAACTTCACACTAATGCACATAAAATAAAGTGAAATAACATTTTTAAAAAGTTAACGTGTTCTCCCCCTCTTAATCAAAGGAAAGAATTTTTTTAAGTGTCTCCTTTAAGAATAAAGAACCCAAATTAAGTAAATAAATATCTTGCTACCATATGTAACTTGAAACTTGACAACTCAACCTTGAGGTAAAGCCTGGTAACTGGGAGACTGTTATACTGTATCTAAGAAGACTTAACACAGTGAAACTCCTGGGCAAAGGACTGCTTCAGGCTCCGCCCCCCCCACCCCCCCCCCCCCCCCCCCCCCCCCGCCCATTGAACTGAACGCATCTGCTTTTCCACAGAGCACAAAGGGAAGGACGCCCCTAGAGCTAGAACTGTTCTCCAACCCTCGTGAAAACGTGCTACACACACACACATACGAGATACTTAGCTATTGTGAATGAACACACTGAGATACACTTCCAGACACTCTAGAAAGTAGGGAAACCATAAAAGAAGAAGGGTGGGACGTTAATGACTGTTGAAGCTGGGTAGTGAGCATATTACAGTCTGTCACATTATTCTATGCTGGGAAGGTCCAGTGATGTTTAAAGACATCCACCACCTCCTCCGAATCAAAACAGAAACTTGAGAAAACTGATGATATGAACTTGATCGATGTCATCCAAGAAGCAAAAGGCTCATATGCTTGGATCTTACGACAATGGCGAAATCACAACACTATGTACAGGCACCCCAGGCAGTACAGCACCAAGACCTATTATCCAGGCAGCCAGGGGCAATATGGTGGAGATGGAATAAATTATTCTCAGTGGATTTATTTATACGTCGAAAAATTATTCTTAGTTGATTGTTCGTGAGGTCCTAGGAAACATTTGCAGTTGCTGGAGGCAAAGGGCAAATTAAGAAACAGTAGGTACTGCAGCCCCTGTAAAGATTAAAATACAAACACCGGGAGACAAGCTAGGCTAAGAGAGGCACTGGCCGCCCAGGCCACCGTGAAAACCATTCAAGCACAGGTGAGTGAGGACACATCCAACTCTCTCACAGCCTGCTCAGCTCAGACAGGTGCCTGGGAGGAGCAAGCCTGGAGTCCCCAGCTATGCATGGTGGGCACCAAAGACGAAAAGTTGCAAGTCACCGAGAAGCTCATCCACACAGAGGCTCTGCTGCCTTGCCAAAAGTGACTGGGTGCCTTGCTGCCCTGCTTTCCTGTCAGACACAAGAAGCAGCACAAGCAGAGCTTACAGGAAGTGTAAGCTCTCGGGCTAGCCCACTGAGGAAGGCTAGAACTAACCTACCATGCACACACATATACAGGCTAGCCTAGTGAGGAAGACTGGGGCTAACACTACACACACACGCGTTTAAAGGATCCTGAGTAAAAATTTTTCTCTCGTAGCAATTTTTCTCTACTAAAAACAAACAAAAGTCTCTCATGCTAATGGTAGAAGAGTCAGTCAAATGGACTCCCAGACTCTTCAGAGCCGACAGCACAGAGATAACCCAAAGGAACAAACACCACAGTGATTTACTGGTTGTCTTGGCATAAAATATTTACAAGATGAGTGAAAAGAACTACTTAACAACAGACTGTTTTTATACATCCTTTTCGTGCCCCTGTTCGTAACTTACAAAAAGTAAATCTTCTCTAAGACAAAAATCAAGAGATCCCATTCCCAATCCATTGTTTCTCGACTGAAGGTAAAGATTTTGACAGTTAGCCTTGACAGAAAACTTTGTAAGCATATTTGTAAGTATATTTCAGAACAAAACCCTTTATAATGCATTCCTCTACACACTCAATTCTCACATACACCTAACAGTGTTCATTTAAACATGATCAAAAGAATTACTTACCATCCAAAGCAAAAAAATGCAAGATAAAGGCCCAAAAGGGTAGCAACTATGTGTCTGATAAAAGAGCTAGTTTTGCTTGAATGTAGATAAGTTCGAAACCAAACGGCTGCTAACAAGGCAAAGAGTTGGCACACTACAAAGTTGACCTGTAAAGAAAAATTAAAACTTTGTGTTAGCAATAGACTGGAATCCTCCAATGTCACATTTAAATTCTAAGGACAAAAATACCACAGTTAACATAAAATTGATTTTTTTTCTAGTTTACAAAAGCAAAAGAAAACAAACAAAACCCCTCAAACCAATAAATGGGGCATTTTCCAGGGAGGAGCTTCAAGTAAAGGTGAGGTCAATATACATTTCCTGCAGTGCACCTGGTAGGAGATAGGTGTGCAAAGGTGAGGGCAGGTGTGGCAGGATACCTGGAAGAAGAGGACAACAGTGGGCACACAGAGCGCTCTGTGGGTAAAGGGACAGAGCAATCTTTTAGATGACTCAGGTCTTCACTGGGAGAAAAGCATAGCTCCCAGGGACCCACAATGCTCGGGGGCAGGGTCCAGCTCCTCCAAGTCCCCAAGGCTCAGGGCTACAGATTCAGTGGGATGGGGACACGGGACTATCCAGGGAGCACAATGGAGCTGCTGTGGTCTAAGCATCACTAGGACAAGGGTGAATGACGGCAGGTAAGACACAGAGCGTTTGGCTGTGTGCTGAGCAAGGATCACACACCTTTCCTGAGTCTAGCAGGGCTAGTATTAAACTCCCTCCAGAGCTCAGAGCCAAGCTCCTCACAGGCAGAGGCAAGCCTGAGGCCGCGCTCTTCCTACCAACAGGCCTAAGATCAAGGGTCTCCTGTGGAATGTAAAGGCTTAAGGAAGGCCCTTTCCTTCGCTCTCATGAGGCTCATTCTCACGAAATGAGTCTTACAGCCTGTCTACAAAACATCATCTTCCTACAGTCACAGACAAGCAGGTTCTTGCCTTGCATTGTGAGAAGAGCAGCCAGCACAGCTGTCTGTCTGAGACCACCATTCTCTGAAACACTCAATGGAAGGCAAACATCTTTCTGGAGCATTCTAGTGATTGCTTCTCCTAAACAGTTTTAACTGTGTTTCCAAAAAATTAGCCCAAAGTAAATACATTAGAAAAATCGCAATTCTTGACACTAATTACTATTCCAGAGTATAACAGAAAAAAAGCAAGCTGATACACGGGAACGTTGGCAGACATTAGCAAGCCTTTTAGAAGCTGTACAGAAAATGTTTTAAGAACAAGCTTGAATGGCGAGTGTCAAAAGCAAGTGACACAAGTAGGCCAGGACAGTAGTTCCCAATGCCAGCAGGGTATCCCCAACCCCAGGGGGGCTTGGCTCTCCTCAGCGCTCACCCTCTTCCCTCTTCACATATTCATACAACATAAAGGAAGTTGTGCTTGTGACAGAGGCATTCTAAGCTGAAATTTTACAGACTTTCGGTAGTACCTGTCCTAATATCATGGTCTTTCACATCAAGGACATTGAGATCAGGCCTCACTGAGCACAATCACAATATTTGGTACACAAGACTATGTGTTTTTTTTAAATGCCCAAGAGAGATTTCTGTAACATTGAGGAACAAGAGCCCTGTTTTGCACAATAAGGGAAACAAATAATTTAAGGAGCACATGGGTGCATGTGAGATGAGGGAGCTCGCTCGCCATGGGCACTCCGGGTATAACATTTAGGCATTTAATAAAATTATTAAATTGTTTTAATTAAATACAAAAAGTCTGAAGGTGTTTTAATAAAGAAGGCATTGGGAAATGCCACCACCCCCGCGCGCCACCTTGAAAGGCACAGGACCATGTGTGTGTAGGGACAGTATAGAGGCTGGGGCAGGCTGGCCAATCAGAGCAACAGGTATCAGGGCCAGCTAAGAATGAGAAAAGGCGAGAGCCATCTGTGGAAGAGGACAACGCCTGTCAAGACCAGGACATAGGGACAAGCAGCCTGTGGGAAATGGATACTAAGTCTGCATGTGGGGCTTGTGGGGGCTCAGGGGCCAAGTGTACAACCCCACACAGGGGTCCTCCAGAAAGGTCTAGAGACTTGAGGCAAATGTGAGTCTGAGAGCTGTGGACACAGTTGGAAGAGAGCTACAGAGAGACAGGATGGTGCTGGATAAGACCCTGAGCCCTACAGCGCTAAAGGACCCCAGAAGCAGGGGAGCAAGCAGTCTTGAGATATGTAAAAGAAGACCCAGGGAGCTGGTACAGAGACTGTGGCCACTGTCACTGCAAGGGAGGGGCCAGGACAGTAGTACCAAGGCCAGCAGCTGTCCGCTCCTAAGAAGTGTCTTTCTCCCAATTGCTCACTCTCTTCCTGTGAGAGTCTCTCTACCTCTACTTAGGTAGCACAGCTTGACTGGTGAAGGTGGCAAGAATAGCAGAAAAAGTCCCAGAGGCACACTTTATAGATCAGGAAACTGTCTCACTATTGAGAGGGAGTCACTAAAACCACAGTGTGAAACCATCCATCTCCCACTCACTGCCCGGAAAGACGAGTGGGATATGGCCTGCAGGGAAGAGCCAGCGAGGTACAGTCCCCGAGCATATCCGAGTGCAGCACTGACATTTAGGAAGGGCAGGGGAGGAGTGGGCCTTCCCCACACAAGGAGACAGGCATCCCTGGTACAGGGCAGACCCATGAGATGGGCACTCCGAGTGTGGGAACCCTGGAAGAGAAGGCAGAAATTGCCATGAAAGCAACAGGATATCACGACACAGGGGTGCAGGTTATCTGAGCCTCTGCTAGAAAAGGCGGGAGGACACGGGCACACACCTGTAATCCCGGCACTCTGGGAGGCAGAGGCAGGCAGTCAGCTGTGAGTTAGAGGCCAGCCTGGTCTACGAAGTGAGTCCAGGACACCCAAGCCTACAGAGAGAAACCCTGTGCAACCCAAAAAAGACTGGAGGACACAAACACATCCAGCCATTCAAATCATTCTTTTTAAAAATCTAAATGCAAGAGTGTCCCAAATAAAAACCATCTTAGTCATCCTTTCACAGATGGGAAGGTTGGAAAGGCAGAGTCCCGGTAAGAGAAGAAGAGCAGGATAGCACGTGTTCGAGTGAGAGACCCAACACAGTAAGAATCCACACTGCCTATCAGACACTCACTTCTGATCGCAGTCACCTCCCCGAGGCCTCAGGACAAGGGCTGTTCCCCACATCATATGCAAACAGCTAATGTTCTGAACTTGAGAGCACACAAACTACGGGGGACACCCAGAGTCCAGTCAGAGTTGGCCAGGTTCTGCTCTGCTGGGCCAGGTTCTACTTTCAGGGTGTGTCTGAAGGTCAAACTCAACTGCCACAGGCAGGATCCCAAAAGAGACAGACACCGCCATCCCATCTCACTCAAAAGAGGGAAGGCTGTTTTACGGAGATGTTAGGCATGATCCAAAGAGTCTGGTGTAGTGCCTGGTATGGGGACACACACCTGTAACACCCGCACTCCTACTAAGATAGGGCAGCCATGAGTTTGAAGACAGCTTGGCTACACAATGAGAGAGGAGGAAGGAACGAAGGAAGGGAGGGAGGAAAGAGGAGGAGAGAAGGAAGGAAAAAAGAGGAGGAAAGAGAAGGAGGGAAGGAAGGAGGAAAAGAAAGGGAGAAAGAAAAAAAGCGAGAGAGAAAGAAAGATAAAGTTGCTGTAGGTTTGGCTTGGTATAGGTCAACTTCTATACATGCTTTCGTCTAAAAGGAAAGTTTAGAATTAAAGGATTTTATTTTCTTTTACTTTTTAAATATTTACACTGCGTGTGTGTGTGTGTGTGTGTGTGTGTGTGTGTGTGCGCACGCATGTGCTATAACAGGCATTGGAAGTCAGAGGACCATGTACAGAAAGCTGCCTCTCTTGGTGATCCTTAAATGTATTCTAAAACTGTTAAAGCGGAAAGTTAGCATCTATCTTTCTATATTACCTACCCATCTTGGTCTGTGTGGTATTTGAGGTTTGTTTGTTGGGTTATTTTTTTTATTCTATATTTCTTTTTTTGTTGTTTTGATATTTTTTCACCCTGAGACAGGGTTTCTCCGTGTATCCTTGGCTGTCCTGGAATGGCTTTGTAGACTAGGCTGGCCTCGAACTCACAGAGATCCATCTGTCTCTGCCTCCCCTAGTGCTGGGAGTACAAGCATGTGCCACCACTCCTGGCTTTATTCTATATTTCTACTACTCTCTTTTCTTCTGCCTTCCCTGCTTCTCTCCGGCCCTTTCTCCCTCTTTCATTCAATATGACCCATGTCCTAAGAGAAAAAAGAAGGGTGAGATGGCTCAGCATGTAAAGACACACACCAGCATCCCTGAAAACCTGAATTAATACCCAGAACCGACATGGTGGAAAAAGAAAACTGATGCCTGCAAATTGTTTTCTGACCTCTGTGCCTGTGTGAATGAGTACACACACACACACACACACACACACACACACACACACACAAGTTATACTTTTAACAATACAATTGGTTCTATCTGCAGGTTGCACACTGTCAGATTCAACCAACCATTCGTTGAAAATACCTGAAGGAAAAAAAAAAAAAAAAACATCCATACGGAGCATGCCCAGACTTTCCCTTATCATTCCCCAAGAGTCCAGTGAAGCAGCTGTTCACACAGCACTTACAAGCATGAGGTATTTTGGGTCATGTAGGGATGATGTAAATGAACGAGAGAATGTGCTGAGTGGTAAATGCTGTACATTTCATGAAAGCAACTTGAACACCCACACATTCTGGTATCTGGTGAGGTTCTGGGGCCCATCTCTCCCAACACAGAGGAGCTGCATCCTGCTCCAGTTACCTGAGACTTAAAACGACACCTTTGAAGAGACTGCTTCCAGTAATTTGGTTTTCTGAGACTGGGTTTCTCTGTGTTGCCTTGGCTGTCCTGGAACTCAGTATGTGCACCAAGAACTCACTATGTGGAATTCACTATGGCTGGCCTCGAACTCAGAGATCTGCCTGCCTCTACCACCCAAGCATTGGAATTAAAGGCGTGCACCACCACTGACCACTTTCAGTAATTTGAAAATGGGAAACCAGAGGGAGTCAGGACAAAGGGAAGAGAGAAAAATGAAAAACTTCTCAGCTGCTTTAAGGCTGACTCACGA